CAATCTTCCTAGGTTGATCGCATCTTGGATCGTGTTCCTGAAATGTATACAATTATTAGTCCAGTGTCCATAGATATTATGAAATTTGTAATATTTTCGATCATTTCTTAGTTCTGCGGAAGGTAATTTATGATCATCACTCAACTTAATCTGTTTATCTTTCAATAAGATATCGAAGATTTTATCTGCCTTTGTTACAACAAAAGTATATGTGCGATTTTCCATTTTGTCTTTCACTTCATTTTTCTGTAGCAGTTTACAAATATATGGAGCCCCTACTTTGAGCTCTGCTATATTTACTTTCTCATCGACAGATTCTTTCATATCTCCTTCTATCCTGGGATTTTCCTCATATATGTCATTTATATACGCTACCCTATCTTTCTTCATAGGTTTCTCAAATTTCTTGTACCTTTGTTTCTCGTATTCGATTTGTTCCACTCTTCTCACTTTATCAGCTAGTTGAGCCATGTCATTCAATGGTAAATTAACTAACTTTTTCCTAATCGAGAATTCTAAGTCTGCAAAGGCCATTCTGACTAACTCAAATTCGGAAATTTGAGTAAAACATCTCGACTTCATTTGTCTAAATCTATTCAAATAATCATTTACGCTTTCATGATTATATCTCTTTATATTCATTAAGTCGATAAGACTTACTTGAGTCTCCCCCCTAAAGAATTTCTCATGAAAATTTCTTTCCAGCTGCAACCAATTATATATTGAATTAGGTAGCAATGACGTAAACCAAGTGAAAGCATTCTTTGTTAATGAACTAGGAAATTATTTCATTTTTAATTCCTCACTCATCGCTAGGTCCCCACATTCGATTTGATATCGCGCCACATGCTCGATAGTGGATTCACCAATTTCTCCAGCAAATTTGGTGAATTTGGGTATTTTGTATCCTCGAGGTAATTCTGTCTCGAGAATCGTATTTGAAAAAGGAGAAACAAAGTACGGTTGATTGGGTGGTCTTAATTCCACTCCTTGAGGATTCATCCTTTGTCCCAGCATGTGATTGTACTGTATGTTATTTTGATTATACATATTTTGAAATCCCTCATTTAAATTTCCATAAGTATCATTCCTCACATGCTGATATTCATTCCGCACATGCTGATGTTGATCATTGTTTCGATTTCTCCTTAATAAATAAAGGGGATTGATATTAGCGTTTTGATTAATATTCTGATTGGCAGTATTTTCAACCCTTGTTTGTCGAGGTATTGCCAATGCATCCCTGATACGTGTCATTTGGTCTGCTAATATCTCAAAACTAGTGGTAGTGTTTTGAACTAATGGGTTTAGTACTGTAGTCAACTGTTGTGATAACATGTTAACCATCTCGAAATTGCTTTCATCCATTTGTTGTCGAAGTACTCCTAATGAATTACTGGAAATTCCAGTACTAGCATTTTCGATAGTCTCAAAATTGGATCGATGATAATCTCTATCGAATGTATATCTCTCGTGATCCAAGTTTGTTCTGTGATCTAGGTTTGATATTGGATGCGTCTGTTGTGTTCCTAAATTCTGCGCATTCCCTGAATTCTGGGGTGTTACTAAATTTTGAGACACCCCTAAATTTGGGGATACTCCAAAATTTTGAGGCATACCTAAGGTTTGACATGTTCTTAAGTTTTGGGGCATTCTTAGGTTAAATCTCGTATTTCGTTGTATTGAAGAAGTACCAGCCCCATTCATATTATTAAACGAAAAACCAGGCGGCCTTACACTCATATGCGGACCTGCATATGTTGTTATGGGGTTCCCCGTAGTTTGTATATTGTTTGACATTACAGTACTAGACCCTAACTGAGTGTTTGCTAATGTGTCTGAGCTTTGTTTAGTACTCAATGGTATCAACGTACTCACAGTTGTCGATATTACGGGCATATTCCCATTGTGAACTTGTCCCCCAGTGTTTGGTGAATGTGAACTATTTAGAATCTCACTGTTATTCTAATTATTTGGTGGATTTTGACTCATTCTTATTACTCGTCCACTCCTTAATCTCATACACTTTCGAACTAGCCAATTGTTTGTGTTTTTCGACACAACACCCATACCTAGCGCGTCAATTTGTTTCTGGTGAAAATTTGATCGATTTCGATTTCTTAGGTTCTGATCAAATTTCGACCACGTAGATTCTTTTTACTTAGACTAGCGACAAATTTTCAATCAAAACGCGTATGAGAATCGAAAATCCCATAATATCAAGAAACGCTAACGACGCAACCTAGCGTGCTGATTGACAACCGAAAGTACTATTTTTTGATATTTTGTATTAAGAAAACTCGAAGTAAAGACAACAATAAAGAAGAAAATATTGAATCGAAGAAACAGTGCAGAATGTCAAATTGCAGAAAAAATATAAAAATGCGGAAACCTCAAATTGCTTTAAATGTAAATGACAAGGAATTGAAATTACAGAAATGTAAATAACAGGAAATCGAAATTGCAAAAACAGTAAATGCAGGAGAATTTGAGTACATAATCTTATATTGCATCGAAGGTAAATGACAAAATTTAGAGTACAAGAACTTAGATTGATGAATGTAAATAAGTTACCAGGGAAAGTAAAGAAAGCGGTAAAAACAATCAATGAGAGTGGAAATCCAGATCGTCAGAAACTTCATGATTCGTCGTTCTCCGGTAGACTTTTCACTTGTGCTTCTGTTGTCTCTGCCAATTTCCCCCCTTCTTCAAGCTTCGTTCTATTTATAGGTATCCTTCAATATAACCTCCTAAGAGCAATTTAAAAAACTGTCACCACGTTCCATGTGCACGTTCATCGATTTTTACCTTGGTTTACGGTTTAGAAAATCGCTTCCATGTTCCATGTGCATTATAACCGTTTCTCGATTTCTAACCTTAGCCGCGATGTGAAAAGTCACTCCTCATGTTTCATATGCATGATAACCGTTTCCCTCGATCTCGATTCCAGTTATCGAGTTCGATTTCCCTTAACCTTGACTTTACACTATACTTTATCATTACTTTCATCGATTTGTTTCTCTCTTTTCTGATTTTCGATTTTCACTATCTCGTGGTCACCGGATGTCTTTCAGCCATCTTTCCGATTTATCAACTTTTTAACCAATCATATGATCTTCGATTTTCTCTTTTCTGTTTTTTTATTCTTCTATCGATTTTTCACTAACACACACACACACACACATATATATATATATATATATATATATATATATATATATATATATATATATATATATTAATTCTCTATTATCTTATAATAAATAATTTTTACTTGTACACATTTTTTCCCTTATTTTTTTCTGCGTGTCCTTACTAGCGGTTATATAATTACTTTTCCATTCATTTTCTTTCCCTTTCTTTATAAAAAATTAATTAATTTACACATTTTAAGTAAAGTGAAATTCGATACCAAGTTATCATAACATTATTCGATACAAAGTTATTGTAACGTTATATTATATTATATTATATATAAATAAATAAATAAAATTCATCGTTATATTTAATATTTCAAATATCAATCATGAACTTTTCATGTCACAATACCTTTATAAATTTTATTATATACCTAATGAGAACAATAATACCTTTGAGGTTTTTGCCATCCCCTATTTTTAAAGTTTGGGATTATTTGGAACTGTCAGATGTGTTTGTGTTCTTGTTTATATTGTATTTTAGGACACATTTTTATATTATTTTATAATTTATTTTTATTAGTTGTTTACCTAGCGTATGCATTAATCATAACATTAAATAACGTGTCATTTATATTTTACTTTGTGTACCCAGTGATTTGCATTAATTAGTTTGGCTAAAGTAGAAGCTCAAATGTGTAACCATTATTAAAGTTATATATATATATATATATATATATATATATATATATATATATATATATATATATGGTTTATTCGTAAATTCTATTTTAATAAATTATTTTAAATTTAATATTACATCGTAAAGAAATTACTAAGAGAGTGAACGATGGCATATTAAAGTAAAAGTATTTTAAGCATAATTAAAATTTGGTAATGAATATTCTATAGTGAGGTTAAGTCATATAAACTAAATTAACGCAAGAGAAAATAAACAATGTAACACTATCTGTGAAAAAAATAAAATTGTTAAGTTATTTTATATTTTAACATGATACGGAAAGATGATATAACGATGGAAAGATTATATAACTCTTGTATCTTTTAATTAGGATAAGTGTGATTTATTTTATTTCACAATGAAAATCCTTATCCATTATCAATTAACGTTTTATGGGTATTAAAATTTTAAAATATTAATATATATATATATATATATATAGAGAGAGAGAGAGAGAGAGAGAGAGAGTGAGTGAGAGAGAGAGAATTTTTCTGAAAAATATATACTAATACAAAACATTACGGTGAAGGAGTTTAATTTTTGTTGTGACAATTAATTAATGTTTTGATAAATTGAAAGATTGGAAACACTTAAAAAACAACAACTTACACATCATTATAAAAAGAAATCAATTTTTTTCTCATTAAAAATCGTGACAATTTTTAATATATAAAGATTGAAATGTATAAAGTTGACAGTGAAAGGCTGTATAAAGTTACAATTAATTTATTAATGAAAGTTTAAAGCAATGAACATAAGTAATTAATTTAACATGCAGAAGAATAATATTGAAAGAAAGAAAGAAGAAAACATGACATACAATCAAGAAAAGAGTCGCTTGGTAGCACAAACAACCCAAAAACACAAGTAGAGATTCCACATAATTTCGTTCCAATAGGCTAAATTTCTAATCTCAATTGCTAATACACTCTTCAAGTGAGATTAGGACACTCTAATGGAAGACACTCTTACACTCAAGAACAAAGAAATTCCCAGGAACCTTATCTAAACCAGTTTTATTTTAAAGTAAAGTTTATTCCAACATAAAGTTAAAACAAAAGAGGCCTGGAAGTAAAAAGCTTAAAAATTTCTAAGATTATCTGGCAAATAATTAATTCCATTTACTTTGTTGCAGCTGCAGCAGCAGCAGCAGCCATTAAATTTTGCTTAAAAGCTTTGGATATTTCAATCAGCTTGTCAGGTTCTGGCAGAAGGCCATTTACAGCAGGATGAGCAGAAAACGTTTGAGCCCATTGGATCAAGCCAGGGTGCTTGGTTTCATCAAGCAATTTTCTTCCATTAATCTTCTCTACCACTCTTATCCAACTCAAAAAGCTTCCTAAACCAATATCAACGAATCCAATCGTGTCTCCTCCGAAAAGGGCCTTCCCTTCACTTCCCTTGTTAAACGCTTCTTCCATTCTCTCAAACACTTCTTCTGCTACCTCGATGTGTGGCTTCTTTGCTTCGTCATCATCATCTTCAGCCCTTAGAATACTTTTCAAAGCCGGAACCCACTATTCCCAGTTCAAGCCATTAGTACTTGTTCATTGAGAATCACATGAAAGCTTATAGCTTATGATGATAGTTAAGCTTTTCGAGCAACTTCATAAATTATAAAAAGAAAAAAGGTAGAAAAAAAGCCACAGATAACTTATGAATCACTTAAGTACTAACATAGTAACTTAAGTTCAGGTAGGAGTTTGCTTCGATTCAAAATTGAAAAAAGGGTTTTCTGAAAACATCTTTACTGAATAAAAACTTTTCTAATTAACCCGATCGAAGTTATTTATATATAAGCTTATTTCTAAATTGGTAAGTAAGAATGAGAATAAGCAAGAACTAAAAGAAAAAATACATCAAAGGAATATATATAGTTACCTTTTCATCGATGTAAGCAACCCAAAATCGGGCATTAGCTCGATCATAGGCATTTTGCGGAAGGATGAAGGGAGCATTGGTCCAAACCTCATCGATGTATTCAACTATGATTGCAGATTCACATATGGCTTTATCTGCAAGGAGGAGAACTGGGATTTTCTTGTGCACAGGGTTGGACTTAAGAAGAAGGTCACTTTTGGGATTCAAGGTCTCTTCAATAACCTCATACTCTACACCCTTGAGGTTAAGGGCAATCCGAACCCTTAGGGCAAAAGGGCTGAACCAACCACCCAAAAGCTTCAAGTCGTTTTTAGCCATCACTATAACAGGTTTCTATTCACACAGCGAAATGTTGTGTTGAGTTATTTGCTAGGGAACGAGGTGTTTATGTATCAGAAGGAAGCAAGACAAGTTGAGAGGTGACCAATAAGCCACGTGTGTTCGTTAGGTTACTGTACTACAATCCATTGAGCCAGCCAAAGTTGACGTGATCTTTTGGTTTCAGAAATCAAAGATTAATTATTATGGAAAATAATATTTTTACAATTCAAATTCATACTATTTTTATAAATATTTTTTTTAATATTATAATAATAATTTTGTTTCATTTTTATTTTTATTAAATCATTCTATAAATTATTATATCTCTTTTAATATTATAATAATAATTTTACTTTATTTTTATTTTCATTAAATTATTTTATAAATTATTATATTAATAAAAATAAGTGATTTGAAAACTTGTGGTTGTAAGACTATCACCACTCAATTATTACATTGTATGTGATTGCCTTTTGACCGTTTACGACAAAAGAGAGAACAATAATAGATATAAAATGAATCAGTAGTGAATTAGCTACGCTGCATTTAGGATCAACGTGTATCATGCGATATAATATCATATATATTACAAAGATTTTGGAACATAATTTATTTTTCATTTTAATTGGCAAACCTTGATTTTACGTACGTAATTATTATAATTTTGTAAAGAACTATGTTATTTATAAATATCTTCTTAAAAATACGCATCTATAATAATTAAGATACCAAAATTAAACTTAAATTGTTTATTTATTTTAATAAATAAAATTATATATTATAAAAAGGACTATATATTTTACCCTATCCATTCATATTGATTTTTAATATCACAAAATAAAAATGCACCAGCCGGGAATCGAACCCGGGTCTGTACCGTGGCAGGGTACTATTCTACCACTAGACCACTGGTGCTCGCGTATTATTCTTTCAAACTTATTTAAATGATTTAATTGTTTAAATTATTTTCATTAACAAGTGATATAATCAATTAAAATAGGTGAAAAATAAAGAGAAAATAAAGATATTTAATTAAATAAATAAAATTTGAGTAAAATAATAATAAGTGCCATCACTTTTAAAAATATTTTTTTACTGAGCCTTCTACTCAAATATCCTTTTAATTTTCATCTTCACTCACCTTATTTTTTTATTAACCAAAGGTTAGAAAAATCTTATTTTACCTAACACATTGTTATGCAGTTCATATTTATTTTAAAACATTATTATTATCATTATATTCAGCGTTAAAATTAGTTTTCCATTGTTTTTTATTTGAACAATTGGATTTCAACATTTTAGGAAAAGTTTGGTGGTTGAAGAATTCAGTTTAAAAAACTATAGTAAATAATTTCAACAGTTGATAAGAAAACTAATTCATGTTATCTGGACATGTATAATAATTCATATATTTTATTTATTTATTTTATTCAATTTAATTATTCTATCCATAGAATTTTAAAAATTAACAATGTAACTCTTTTAAAGTTTAATTAAATTTCTCAAATTTTAAAAGTGAAACAATGTAACTATTTCGTCGCTTAAAGATGATATCGTTACTAATTGTCACTATAGGTTAATTATAAATTATATCATGCATAAATTAATCGAATCTTTTAACAATAATAGGATAATAAAATAAATAAATAATTATAAAAAAATTAAAGTATTTTTTAAAGATAAATAAATTAATCACCCAATACAAAAAAATAAATTAAATACAAATATATACATATATATCACCCAGAATGAAAAATATATGTGAAAGGCAAATTATTGATTATTAGACAAATAGTCTAAAGCATAAAATTATATTCAATTTTTATGAATTGAGTTTTTATTATTAATTTGAATTGATTTTTTTATGAAATCGTTTATTAATTGATGATTATAGTTTATATTATTTTATTTTAAGTTTTTTTAATTATTAAAAAATTATTTTAATATTTATAATTAATAAAAGATTGTTGGGTTTTTAAATATTAATAATATTAAATAATTTTAAAATAGATTAAAGAATTTAAAAAATATAATTAATATAATAATGAGAAAATATTAAATATATTATATAATAAAATAAAATTTTACCTTTTCATTGTTAATATAGATAACTACTAATGATAATCTTTATTCAGACAAAATAATCATGTGGCACATATTGATTTTTCTTATTGTAAATGTTATTTGTGGTTAATTTTTTAATTATTAACACAAATTTAAATTAGTAACAAATTTTAGATCTAAGAAAACCAATAATCTTATTATTGACACGTAGGTCATTAAATTCATGTTCAATCACATGGAGCAAAATTCTACTACCACCCTTAAAACCAAAAAAACATCATCTTCCTTTTACGAATGACGTTATGAAAATGTACATTTATCTATGTAAACTTTTAATCATACAACAAACAGTCTCTCTATTAATTTTGATAAACATATTAAAAAGGACTCACGTGAACTTGAATTAATATTGTAATTATTTATTAATGCATTTACCAACAATTTGAAAACATTATTTTATTTTACCAATAAACTTCATGTATTTTTTTTATCGAATCTATTAACTCGTTTGATTTAGTTTTAAAAATTTTAGAGATTAAATTTACAAATTTCTTTTCAAAAATAAATCGAAAAAAATTGTTTTATAATTTTTATTTTAAAAATTATTTAAAACTAAAGAAATTAATATGAAAAGTTGTAAAAAATTTAAAAATATTTTTTAATAATTTTATGAAGATAAAAATAAACAATTATTGATAAAAGTATTAATATTTCTTAAAAAAAGGCAGAAAATATAAATTTTTTATTTAAAATAGGTAAAAATAGAAAAAAAAATCCAAACGATTTTAACATAAAAGTCACAGAATAAGTTTTTTAATTTTTAAAAAACTAAAATTTCGAAAATGTATTTCTTAAAAAAGTAAAACGAATATTGTATCTCCAAAAATAAAATTTGATTTACAACTATCGTGAAACAACGAATATTGTACCTCGTGAAACAACATTAATTGCCTTAAAATATCAAATAGGGAGATAATGAACATGATGTAACAATAAATTTGTTTTTGTCCCTTTATAAACTTTAGTTTTAGATCTTTTTTAATGTTGTTATTTACTTTTTAGTTTTAAAATGTATTATACTAACTTTTTATTTCTTTTTTAGTGATTTACATAACACTTTGTAAGAGAAAAAAAAAGTGGTTTAAGTAAGAACGAAAAATAATAGGTTTAAAAGTTGGAAAAGATAAAAATAAAACATTTGAAAAATTTAAAACTAAAATGTAGATGATTTATAATATCAAGGCTTAAATAAGTATGGTATGAAGAACTACCTGGGTTTGGGCCACAAAACAAATGGGCTGAGTCCACATGGAGGGGTAATAATAGTACAACTGTCTTCAAGGTCTCTTCCTTCTTACAATAAAAATTTTGACTTAGAACCCAAAATACACAATACTTATATTATTTTTAATTATTTTTTAAACTTTGTTAAGTCATATATAAGAATTATATACTTTTCGGAAGTATCATTCTAGAAAAAGATTTAATATATTTAAAAAACATGCACCAGCCGGGAATCGAACCCGGGTCTGTACCGTGGCAGGGTACTATTCTACCACTAGACCACTGGTGCTTTTGGAATGAGTTTCCTATAGGAACTTATATTCGTATAATAATTAAATGATCTTCTTTTTAGTTACTTGTAAATGGTTTATTGATTAATAATAATATTAATATATTAAATTCCTTTTAGTGATGTTGTGTTTGAATATCTTAAGGTAGGTCTTAAGTTGAAATCTTATTAAAAATAATATAATGGAGAGATTAGCATAAACTAGTTGTTGAAAATATGAGTACATACAACATTTATAATATGAACAAAATTTAAAATAGAAAAAAAAACTAGTATTTAATATATATTATGTGATCTTAGAAGATAAAACTGGATATTCTAAGTAAATTTTAAAATAAATAATACAGGTAATTAAAAAATCATTTTTCGATCATAAATATTAAAATTAATAAAAGTTTATAAAAAAAATTTAAATATTATTTAGGGACACTTTCATAATTTTTCACTAGAAATTTTGATTGCATTAAAGAAAAATATTATAATATATTTTATTCCTTTGAGAAAGTGCATATTTAGGCATGTTAATGGGATATGATGAGTTTTGCCTCCGGACTCTACTTCCAACCTTTTTAACTATTTCTCAGTCGAAGTTAAGAATTAAATTTTCATCTTCGCATAGGTTATATTATTTTAAAAAAATTATACTTATAATAAAGTAAATTTAATATTTTTATATATAAAATAATTATATATTTTTTAATTATTATTATTAATTATATATTTTTTAAATTTATTATGTTTATATTAAAATAGGTATATAACATAAATATTTAATTTTTTATGTAAATATAGAATACTTATTATAATAATAATAATAATAATATTATTATTATTATTATTATTATTATTATACTATTCAAATTACATGTATAAATTAATAATTTTTTTAATTGTCATTTTAAAATATTAATAAATATGAAATATAATTTATAAGAGAATATTTAATAAGCTATTAATTATTTAATTAGTGTAAAATAATAAAGAATTTAATTATTTTTTAATTCTTTAAAATATAATTATTTTATTAAGATAAAATTTGATATATAAAAAATAAAAATAATAAAACCTATGACATAATAAAATTTAATAAAAATAAATGAAAAACAAAATAATATAGTGTACATGTAAAATATTTAAAAATAATAATAATTTTGTGTTTTTCAATTTAGCTAAAGAGATTAAAAAATTAAATTGATTAAAGATATTAAAAGAATGTGAAAAGTAAAAGATAAAAAGAAAAAATATGTAATAAACTGATGGTTTGAATTAAAAAAAATAGAAAAGACATAAAAGAAATGAATAGGAAAAAATAAAGAATATAAAATTTTAAAAAATTATCTTATATATTATTTAATAAAAAAATACTCAAAAAATAATATTTTAAAATTTATATTTAAATATAAAAATAAAGCAAAAACATTATCCAGGACTAATATGAATATTACATTACTCGTTCCCTGTCCTTATCAAATTTTGAATCCGCACCGACATCTAGTTTTTTTGTTTTGTTTTGTTTTTTTTTCTATGATCGATGTACCAGTGTAATTGTCGTATTATCATATGTGGGTGATAGATAATTTGAACATTTTACTGTTATGTTTTAAGTTTTAATGTCATTGCCACTGTTATGAAAAGAAACATGAAAGAGAATAAGAGAATAATTCAAGCACCTTGGAAAAGAGAAGTATACTTTATTTGCTTTGATTTTATTGTGGAAAAAAATGTTTAGAAGGAACATTCCATATGTGTATAGATTATCTTCAATTTTTTTAAGATGATATTTTATTAAATGTCATGTCCACAATATTCATACAAAATTTTCCATCTCAAATAAAAAAGAAAGACTAATATACTATATAAAAATCGTATAATTTTATATAATAAAACAGTCTCTATAATTTTTTTCTCTTATCAAATGATGTAAATCAAACAAATGTTATCATACATTGACAAAATCTTCAGCAAGAATTAGTGCCAACAAAGAAAAACGTGCATGTGAAGTCGAGAATATTCACATGGTGGAAATATTGCATAACGAGTTCACAATCATTGACTCATAGGAAATGTTCATACAATTAACTATTAGGTTAGAATGAGATGGAAAAAGAACGGGGTAAACAAATAAAGTGAAAGGTGTGATCATAAATGAGATAAAAAAGGAAAAAAGAAGAAGAAGAAGATGTAGTTAAAGATGAATATATTCTCATCTAAAGTTATTTGCGTTTTAAATATTCTTCTTCCACCAACTTTTGTTCAAATGGCTGAAGGCACTATGTGATTGATTAGTGGATGATAATTGGACTAAAATAACAAGAAAAAATTATTGGGATTGTAGAAAAGCAGATGAAAAGTATAAATGTAATCATTACTGTATTATTCTATTCGTATATTATAGTATAAATCTTCAAAAGCACAAACGTTTGGCCACCCTTGTTTTGGGGGACTCAAGAGTTACCAGTGTCTTGTGTTGCTGCTCCTAATGGGTCTGGTTTAGCACATGATCATGTGATTTCTCACTGTAAGAGATTTTAAACACTTGACGTGTCTAGCATGTTATCAATTTCTTTTATTTCAAATTTTAAATTAAAGATGAAGCCAGCTCTATTATATTAAATCTGAATTCTAATTAATGTACTGACAGAAAACAGTGATAACAAAACTAATCAACTAGTCTAATACCATTAGCAGAAGAAAAATTATAGAACAAAATGTTAAACAACGTTAAAGAATCCTTATAAAACAAAAATGCAAGTTCCTTCTTGTTTCTTCTAAGAAAGTCATTATTCATGTGCTACCTAGGCAGAGGCTAGAACCTTTCAACAATTCAATAAATAGTAACACCAGCACCAACTTATTAGTCCCTCTTGTTCTTGCATCACCACTTTTCTTAATCCTTATCCTTCCTTACTCTCTCAACAACAATGGATTTTAGCCACCCTTCAGTACTTCTTCTCTCCATTTTCCTTTTCCTACTTCCTTCTTTGATCTCATCTCAAATCTGCCAGAGAAACTGTGGCAAAGAAACTCTCAAGTACCCTTTTGGTAGTGGCCCTGGTTGTGGTGACCCTCGCTTCCAACCACATGTGACATGTAGCCAACAAAAGCTCACCTTCACCACTCACACAGGTTCCTACCCTGTTACATCAGTTGACTATACCAACCAAGTCATATACATCTCAGATCCCACTATGTCAACATGCTCTTGCACTGTCCCTAGTAAAGGCTTTGGCTTAAATTGGGATGCCCCTTTTACTTTTACTGATAGCACCATCTTTGCTCTAGTAGACTGTGCAATGAACTCATCATCCATATGCCAATCAAATGGCTACGATGATGGAAGCAACTCTAAGCTTCTATGTGACCAAGGGACACCAATTTGCAGTCTTCTATATTCATGCAGGCCTATTAGTACCATCAACATCCCAATCTCAACATGCTGCGTTTACACACCAGTTAATCTAGGACCATCCTTTGAAATGGATCTGCAGAAGCTGCAATGCCCTTCATACACGGGGTTTTACAATTTCAATGATCAACAATCGGATCCTGAAAAGTGGAACTATGGAATAGCACTCAAGTACAAGTTCAGTGTCACAAATGACTATCCTGGCTCATGTGATGCTTGTGAAAGGAGCCATGGAGTGTGTGGATATAATGTTGCCTTTAACTCATTTATCTGCAACTGTCCTAATGGGATTAACACAACAACGGATTGTTACTTCATATCATCTTTTAATAATGGTTTTAAAAATGGCAAGCAAATTTGTCCTTGTTATTTCTTGTCAATTGCAACCAATGATTTACTATTATCAGAAGAAAATGGCCAATGCTAAAATTGTTTTTGTTTTGACACTTCTATTTTCAGGGGTTGCTTGGTTGATCTATCCTGCGGCATGGTCTCTCGTTTGGTTCTTCTTGTAGGTTATCTTTGATCAACAGTCAAGCTTGTGACATAAACAAGTAACCAAGCAAAATATTTCTGAAGGTTTTCACAGGTTTGAGTGTTGGGAACTTCCATGGTTAGGGAGAAAGTTGTGTATGACTTTCTGGTTAAATGAATTTGGCCATTTATTTTTTGTGTCCTTTGGTGTCAGATGTGTGCACATGCAATCTGTAATTGAATCACTCTCAGTTCATTTATCTTCAGAATTCAGTGAATGCCAAACATTTTATTTATGGAATTTATAATAGATAGCCTGCATGTCAATTACAGTAGTTCAAGTAGTAAAGAGTTTGATTCCTCGCTATGATTAAGGAATGTCAATATTAACATAGAAATGATAAAGAGCATGTTTTCAACATTAATGAAAAACTTATATGAAAAACAAAATTTATAAAAAATTGTAGTTATTTTGAAAAAATTAACTTATATATAACTTAGAAATAAAAATTTGAAAAAAGAAAATAAAATAGTTTCTACAAATTTATGTAAGTTATTTTTAATTTGTAAAGAAGTGGATTTTGACTTCTACATGTCGCGAGTTTTGAAAAACAAAAATAGATTGTATGACATGCATCTAAATATAGTAGAAACTATGCTTGTCAAGCATATTGACACAAATTCTATTCTTCGAAAATGTCTTTAAAAATATACTTCAATAAAAGAGGAAATCATTTTCAATACTTTTTATATTTTAAAACATTATTTTCTTGACCTTTATAAGAATTTTGAGATATTCTTTAAGTTAACAATGAAACTTAAGATGTGTTGGCAACTCTCATGTTAAAAAACTTAACATTATTAGTTCAGCTCTATTTTGAGCATCTGAATTTATTGAACTCTTTTGTTTTTTGTTAAAAGGAAAGTAACACATGAAAGTGTGAACTTTGGTAGATGGATTGGTAAAAAAGGAAGAAGGGATATGGAATGAGATTCGCAGGCTTTAGTCTCTATCCACTAAGAAAGAATATGTAACTTTGTGAAGGGTCCTTTTCTGCTTTATCACTATTGCCTCAGAAGGTGCACCAAGCTTTAAATCTACATATTTATTCTTACACCAATAAGGCACTTCAAGTTTCATCTAAGGCCTCCAACCCAAGAATGTGCTCCAGTAATATTGAATGACAAAAATCTAAGGCGAGTCTTGAAAAACAAAAATAGATTGTATGACATGCATCTAAGGCCTCTAAAATAGGGGTACTGTAAAGTGTGCTCCAGTAATCTATAATGTGTTCCATTAATTTAAAATTATTTTGTTCTGATATTACATATAAATAAATTATTTTACGTTCTTCGAAAAGAGATACCTTTACTCATATTTTTTTCTTTTTTTTATTTCTTTTTATCTTGGATTTATTTTTTATTTTTTTTAACTTTTTGTTAGTTTTTAAATTCCTCAAAATTTTAAAAAAGTTTTTATTATATTCTTGAGGACTTACATAATATACCATAAATAAATATTTAAAGATAGTAATTATATTCGTCTTAACAATTAAATTTTGTTTATATCTTTATTAACTTATACAACAGAAGATATTTCATACACAATAAATAAATAAATAAATATATATATATATATATATAAATTAAATTATTAAATTTAAAAAAAAAATTAACAATCAATCTACCACCATTTAAATCCGTTTAATTCATAGATTAGATCACATAATAGTTTTTTTTTAAATAACCCAATGAAGCTCACCAATTATATAACATATACACTAGAATACCACAGTATATAAAACTAGTATAAATTTAAATTTTAAAAGTGAAATGATGTCTTGAATATATAGGGATGCATTATTATTATAAACAAGTGAAATTTAAAATTCGTCTAACTTTAATTATGATAAATTTTCTAGTATAAATAATAGAACACAGTTAAAAATATTCAACCTGAATAAGATAAACTATAATTTATAATAAAATCTGGCATTTGCATTAAATAGGTTTTTTTATTACATGTACGTGAAAATAAAAATATAATAAGTTATCCATGTTCAAAGTATATATAAAAGAATAATAAATTTTAATGATAATGATGTGATAAAAAAAGTACTTAAAGAGAAATATAGTTTTACCTTTTAATATTAATCTATATTATAAATTAGAATGTCACTTTACATTCTCATTATCCTCTCTACTCTTATAGATGTTTTTCGCACTACCTTCTCTAGTAGCAAATATAATTGTCAACTATTTCACTTTACATTCTATATTTATATGTATATTTAACATTCTAGTAGCAAATTATATTACAATATTTTTTCCTTTAAATATCAGTATTGAAACATAATCTTTTACCACAATTTAAATTACTCATTATTAAATATAACATATAAAAAATTGGTTTATGTGTATTAATTTTATGTTAAATTTCAACTATTAATCTTGTGATCACCAATTATAAGTGCATTTTATCTTCTGAAAGTCAATCTTTCTCTTGAGAGAAATCAAATCCACTCAGTAAAATGCCTCTTCATGGTATCTTGTTTAATGCACGAAAAATCACAGGAAAATGAAGTGAAAGCAGAAAATAATTTATTCTGCTTCTGCGCCACTGTGCTCCATGTTACAAATTTACAAAGCATCCTGTAGTATCCAACTTTCTATGTAAGATATACGATGATATACCTACACCATCTATTCTTTTAGGTGGAAGGGTATGAACCAAAATAGGGGGAATGTCAAGCATAAAAACTTGGCATAAGCATCCTCACCATTTTCAAGTAAAACCCCCCAAACCCCCCTCTTAAGAGAAAGTGCTTATATACAGAGATATATTTTAATCATGGAACTTGCCTACCTAGCTGTGCATCTTTCTTTCTTTTTCAACTTGTTGTGAACATCACCTATACCTACCACATTTGTCATCTCATGTTGCAACAGAGTGGTTTTCCTTGATGTTGCAATTTTTCCCACATGCATGTCATTTGTCTTGGTGATTGGTAATGTGCAGTGTAGTACTCTTCAATGCAACCAAATTGGCAGAACTTCAAGTTGTGCACATACTCCACTGCTCTTGTGCTGTTGAACTGCTCCACCCACATTCCCATGCTCACGTCCTCCATTTTAAATAGCTGCACCATGTTCAAATTGGTTAATTGTGTCACCAACAGCCAACAACTTCCTTCAGTGTATGTCAGAATTAATACAAACTGAGATATTAACATGCATGCATGCATGTGCACGCTCATATACACCAAAGCAGAAGGTAGAGTGGCAGATAAAAATCAGGAATAGTGGTCAAGAAAATATGGTTTGTAGACATTGCATACTTTTAATTTACGCTTCTCGAATTCAGATACAATGAACTGCGCAATGTCAGCCGAGATTATGTAACCTGGGCCATTGGCATAGATAGGATATTCTTCCTCTACCCATTCCTGAAAGTTAAGTGCAAAGAGAAAAAAAGGTCAGAAGTGCCTCCACAAAATGAACATGAGATGACAATTCAGAGTTGCACAATGAAGAAACCAGAAGTCCATAACAACAAATGTCTCAAATTTCAATGTGTGAAAGTTTAAGTTGTTAACACTATAGTACATAACAAGATGATTGATATTCTGAAATTTTATATAAGATTGAATAATTTATACTAACTACAAAAAATGATCATGAATTAAAAAAAAAAAAAAAAAACTCAATTTATGAAATGTTCATAAGAATAAAATGTCCTAGGTTTTAAGCAAAATAGACAAGCAAGAAAATAGCAACAAAGTCAAGGAAACACAGCAAATTCAAAAGGCATTCATATCTCAAATACAGGACATCTATAACATACAATAAAATGTGAGAGAGGATGTGGATGATTTCGAGTTCAGAGTGGAGAAATGAATGGAGCTGGATGTTGTGGGAAATACTACTGGAGATGGGTGGGGGATGGTTGAACAGTATTGGTGTTGCACAGTTGATAGAAGCAAAGCGAAATTACACCCAGGTAACCTTTCTTAGATTCTACAAAGGAAGAGAAATGTCAACTGTGCCCTAAGAATCTCCCAAAATCGGGCAAAAATGGATTTTTGAAAGTCCTACTCTAGTGCTGCTATGGCTGCTATGCAAAAATAGACCGTTATTCAAACTTGGTAGCAGCCCATGGCAACTACAACCCTGCTATAGTACAGTGTGCTATCGATAATATGCCCCACTAATAAACTGATTCTATACAACAATGAAAAAAAAAATGAGCACCAGCATTAATAACACTCAAATAAAAAGGGTAGATTATTTTATAAAACAACAACAAACAAATAGTAAACATACAACCAGCAATGAGAAGTTCAAATTCTGCTACAGAATTTTGATAAGTATACCAAACAACAAAATTAATTGGACCACCTTATAATATTTCATGATGATTACACATAACCACACAGTAATGAAGGCCAACTGCATATGAGAATTTTATATATCAACAGATTTAAAAATAGAGATAAACACTTCAAACGCAGATAATCAAATAACAATTGTACCTCGTAAGTTACAGCCCATTTCCCATAGCGAAGAGGCCTATGGTGGTAATTCATATTTCCCATGTAGAGACTTTTATCACTTTGAGCTTGTCTTGCTTCATTTACAATAGATTCCACTCTGACAAATGTGTCATCATCACACTTCATGATATACTTAGCAGCTACTGTGTGAATCTGCAAGAAGCATATTCAGTAAAGCTCAATGATAATGCATGCTAAAAGAGGTAAAATATTAAAATGTGTACATAAATAAGCAACACTCAACTCCTCTCCCATCACTCACCCCATATTCACAGATAGCTATGGTCTTCAACACAACAAGGTCATAATGATCCATGTATGGGACTATAATAATATCACCAAAATACTCAGCTTCTTTCTTTATGTCCACATTTATGTCCTTCCTTGCATGCTATCATATGCAAAAGAGAAAAACAGTAAGATAAAAAACATTATGTGATTATAGGTTTTGTTATCATTATTTGGGTGTAGATGATGCAATGGTCCTTTACCAATGCAACAAAAAATCGAGCCACGGCATGTGAAGATTTGATTAACTTATGCTGCATCCAGGACTTCCTCACAGCCATCCGTTCAGCAAAATGGTTTCCAGCAGAAAGGATACCAATGAAGAGATCCACATTCACATTGTGAAGAGGAGGAGCTTTCCACTGAGGAAGCAATTCAAGATGCATCTGTGGAGCAAAGCTAGGATGTGATGTAGGCAAGGAAGCCGCAAATATAGAGTGCACATCAACATCCCCATTTATGGATAGTCCAGTAGCATCCTCAAGAGCAAATCCCTGTGAAATGTGAACATAACACAAACATATAAGATATTCGTGCATTCATACAGAAGGAGATATGATTAGTGTACCCACCGTGCGATAGGGAAAGGATGTCACATGCCTTCCATCCACACTAACATGGTAACCTTCCAAGCCGGCACTTATGGTGAGAACAAATAACTTACCCTCTGCAAAAGGATATGGCCAATCAATTGTCACCTTCTTTTTTCGTCCTATCAGTCTGTTCAACCACCATGTTGCCTTCCACTCTTCAGAATGATTATTGTCATCGCGAATCCACTTTTCACATTTTACATGTCCATCAACTGCACAAGAATAAGAAATTCAGCACAGCAAAGACAAACAACGTCCCTTGAAATAAGACACAACAGTAAAACAATACAAGCATGCATGCAAGATGTCTACATTTACAAAAAAGAATGAAAATAACGATTACAGAATGAAAATCTTCAAGTTCTTCTCTTTTGAATTTAAATTCTGAGATCCATTGACATCCATCAAGTCAGGCATTCCGTAAGTCATCATAGTCAATATCAACAACAACAACTACCGCCTTAGTACACTAGGTGAAGTAAGCTACAATTCACATTCTGTTTGGTTAATTGACCAGGTCACAGTCAAACTTTCATTTTTTTGGCAAAACACCATAGTTTAATAATGTGAAAAGATGGCATCAAAACTAAAGCCTTTTTCTTATTTCCAACTCAGCACAGACAGTCTCCACTCTAAAATCAACTCCTAAGAACAAAAGAGTGTCCCCATTGTCAACAACACAAGCCATATCCACCATGCGAGTTTGTCTCGATTTAAAACCAAGACCGGGTAGTCAACCTTCAATAACTTAGAAAAACATAATGGTTCAATAATGTAAAAAGATAGGATCAAACCTAAAGCCGTTTTCTTTTTTCCAACTGACACTACAAACAGTCCCCACTTTAAAACCAATTCATGAACCAAAGAGTGCCCCATTGTCATTACAATGAAAGCTCCAAAATCCACTTCCTACCCCCCCAAAGAAAGCAAACTCCTTATCCCAAAAGACGCGCCATTAAACGTCTACGCACATTATCAGCGTGAAACTCAAATTCTGATCAGAGATCAACACCCAAGACATGAACAACAACACTACACCTAACTTTTGTCCTATCCTATAAATTTAATTAACAAAACAAATGATGATAATAACATAATAACACGTTTAAAAAGCCTTAGAACAACCACTCACCAGTTTCCTCATCCGCACGAGACTTCCACCCCTCACACCTGAGAGCAGAACCCCACTGCATCCTATAGCAAGTGTTCTGCTCAATCACAGGCTTCCCACTCCAATCCCCTCTCAACCTCGGATTGAAATGCAGAATCCGCGGCGGTTCCTCTTTGTCCACAGCCTTCAACCCCTGCAACTCCATCATGAACTGAGACACCATCACCGCCTCATCGCCGTCCCTCACCACCGCTATCTTAGGGTCCCTCTCCGCGTGCGCCCAACGCGGCGTCCCCACCACCGTCACATGCGACCACAGCGTCAGTCCGCATGGCAGCACCATTACCCCTTTCGCCCGAAACGAAGCCCCGGAAACTGAAACCGAATTCGGGCACGAGTCCGACCCGTTTTCAGCCTTCCCCTTCGCAAAGCTCTTCACTTTCCCACTCTCCACGTCCCCCCAGAGTTTCTCCCCAGCAACCCACGCATGCCGCGCCACCTTGTGCAGCTCTGAACCCTCCGAGAAGATTCCGTTGAACTTCAAGGAGGAAACTTTCTCCAACTTTAACCCTCTGGGTTCGCGAATTTGTACCCCATGGTTCGGTTCTTCAAGCAAGAGCGGCATGGGCATGGGCAATGAGTCCGTGAGGAAAACGGCGCCGTTTTCGGAACCGAACCCGGCTCTGAAAGCCAGAGGGATTTCGAAGCTCATGAAGAGCAAGTAAAAGAGCATCACCAGCATGAAAATCTGAAGCAGTGTGAGCCTGTTGGGTAGCACAAACGAGTCTAGTTTACTACCCCTCTTCATTTTTTCGGCCCAGAAGAACAGAATCAATGAAGTACCGTTTTGGAAGCTTGTAAACCCTAAGGAAGAGAAAACGGAAGCTGGGCACGGAAGAAGGTGGAAAAGCCTTCGTCTTGTATCAATCACATGAGCGTTAATGCAGAAAACAGAGGGGAAATGAATGAATGAATAAACGAAAGTTTTTGTTATGTTGTGTGTATTTGTGTAAAGTTTTTAATTGTTATTTATTATTATTATTAATGACTAATAATATATGCCACAGAAAGTAAAGGTGAAGCAGATCACAGTTGATTCTATGGCACCGTGCTGACGGAGGTTGGCTTTGTTCATTAGTTCAGTTTGGAAGCTGAAAACGACATCGTCAGAAGGAAAAGTGGGCCACACGACACAGCAATGTAATGCAGACATGGAATTTCATAATCAGAATCTTTTGTCCTCATTGTAGTAAATCAAATTTACTTGTATTTGATTTTGTATATCTCCCATAAAGCTAAAAAGGATAAATTGAGTAAACAAATACTTTATTGTAATAACTCAGATAACAAATATACAATTAAAGAGAAAAAAAGAGATAGATATTTAATATGGTAAAATAATATTATATTAATATGCATATGAACTTTCTGACTAAAGATGTGTATCATGATGTGTGTTTGTAAATGTGTTTCAAAATATATATATACAGTAAACGAATATTTAATACTTAAAATTTGAATGTATTCAAGCGGAACAAAAAACCTTATTTAATTTTGGTCTGAAACTCACCTTTCTTGAAAAACAAAATTCCATAAATTAATGAAATTGTGGCGTGAAACTTTGCTTTCATGAAATATAACAGTACAAATTTTTGTTAATTAACTATGGTATATGGTATGAAACTTTCTTTTCATCGAATAGCCGCAAAGGAAAGGAGACATGTGGTGATGAACGACACACCGCGTTCTCCGATTGCCACTTGGGTCGGTGGTCAACTTTTCATTCTTTCTCGCGTAATATTGCTTCTTCCTATTATTGTACTATACGGGTCACTTTAGTCCTAAGTTAATAAAATAGCTTCAAGAAAATAAAATTATTTTAAAGAAAGTACTACTAAAAACTTAAATATTTGTATCTGTATATTTCATATTTAAGTATACACTAATATCATGTATAAATGCTACCTTAAAATGATAATATATAGAATACTAGAAGAAATGACACTTTACTATAGCGAAAGAAAAAAGAAAATGAAAGATGAAAATGATTTTGGATTGAGTGGGAAAGGTTATGAGTTGATGATGGAAGAGAGTTTGAAGAATGACATGAACAAGAGGTGGCGTGGGTCGTGGTCGCACGATGGGTTAGTGATATATTCATTATGTTGGTCATGTCAATGTAATGCTTTTCCTTTATTTATTTTGCCCCCTTTTTTTGGTTCGTTTGTTTTTGTTTGATGTATGCATTGGATTGTGACGTGGCTTGGTTTGTGGCATTGTGTCTTCTTATATAAAAAAGGTGTTTATTTGATATTGTAGATTTAATAAGAAAACTTTTATTATTTGCAATTAATAGTAAGTTTGTGAATAACTACACTTATTCTTATTGGTTCCATGCATATGGATTCATTAATGCTCAGTTTCAGGTGTTTTAGAAGGTTGTAGATGTCTTGTAAATGATTATTCCCATCTCAATGATGAACAAGAGAGATGAATGTGTGTGCAAGCAGATTCAGTTTTCAATCTGAAATATACTTTTAAAACTATGGTGGTAAAGTAATATATATATATATATATATATATATATATATATATATATATAAATAAAGATAAATCATGTTAATATACTTTCAAAGTTGGTGAAGTATTTCCTTTATATTATATTTTTATTATTTATTATATTATTAGGAACTTTAATCATTAAATTATTAGAATTTTATAATAATATTTTATAAATAAATTATATTTATATATAAATAAATATATATATTTTTTAAATATATAAATATAAAATATATAAATACAAATATATTTATATAGTTTGATATATTTATATATTTATATGTTGCATGTAACTGACGCATAAAAGTGAAATTATTGTCGAGTGAATTTTTAAAATTTGATACCAAATTTAATATAATTATGATTATTAATAGAACAAATTTTTCCTAACATAAATTATTATAAATTAATCAAAATCATCTTTTAATAATTATTTTTTCCAGACATAGATTAATTTATAATAATTTGTTAAATTAAATAATTTTAAAAATAAATATTTAATTATTTTTAATATTGAAAAATTTATTTTAATATAAAAATTTCAATTAATATAATAGAAGAAAAAAAGATAAAAATAATAAATAAAAATAAATAAAAAAATTATTTAATATCATTATATAAATAAATTATAAAGATTATATTCTTTTATTAAATTATAAACTCATATAAAGAGACTACGTTCACATATTTGACATCAAATTTTGAAAACCTACTCGACACACACTTTCACCCTCGAACGCGCACTCACATCCAACATATAAATATGTAAATATATAATTATATAAATATATCAAAATATATAAATATATAAATATATTTAAATGGATATACATTTATTTGTATATATATAATTTATTTATAAATTATTATTAGAAAATATTAGTAGTTTAGTGGTTAGAGTATTAGCCTCTAACATTAATGTAATCGGTTGATTGAAGACGATCAGATTTAACAGACGTTAAATGACGACGTGAAAAACATATTTTGTAGTAGTGATAATTAGAAAAACAATTATAATGACTAGTAAAAATTCAATTTCAAATGGGTTATATATGCATTTTTATTATGTTTTTTTATTTTAATTTATTAAAAATTAATGTATATATATATATATATATATTAATTTTAAAATATAACTATTTATTTCTAAATTTTTAAATTATTGAAAACAAATAAAGTTGACAAAATTTTAAGAAAATAAAAAATAAAAAAATACATATAATTATAGCAAAAAAGGAGATGATATTTTTTATTTACTATTTTACATCTAAGAGAAAAAAATAAAATTAAATTAAAAATTAAAAAATAAGATAATATATACAGATTTTTACTATTTTATATTTTCTCTTTTCCTATAAAAATAATTATCTTTTTATATATTATTATAAATAAAAATTAAGACTCTAATTTCCAGTTAACTGATCTGTATAAACTCTCAATTAGATTTTTTTAATCAACTTATGTAAATCTAATAATAAAAAAAGAGCTAAACTGTGCCTATAAACTATTTTTGTAAATATTTTGAAAAATCTCATGTCTTCTGTTTATAATGATATTAAAATGTTAAGATAAAATATTTTAAATATATATCAAAATTATTTTGTAAAAAGGTAAAATTAAAAGAGAAATTTAAAACACAAAATTGGATAAACTTAAGATAAAAAAAAATTTACACGATATAAAAATGATAAATATTTTAAATATTTGTGAAAGCATTGTGTAAAAAAAAATAAAAGATCAATTTAAAACTCAGGGACTGGATAAACCAAGATAAAATAAATAAATAAAGGATAAAAATAAAGTTATATTGATTTCTCTTATTATTCCACAAAATTTTACTTTAATTTTAATTTAAGTGTTCTTTAAATAAACCTTCTAAGTTCAACTAAGTAGTATTTTGATTGTCTATCAAAATAAATGTTTACAAATAAAGTCTCTTTAAATTCCAATAATGATTACTAGGTAATTGAATAAGGGTAAGATTCACCATCATTATGAAAAAAAAAAAAAAAACTACACTCAAAGAATTTTCAGAGTTTACACAAATTTGAATACTACATTTTGATAAACTTTTTTTAAATTCTTCCTTAACTATGTTTCTGATGAGTATATAAGTTATTAGGAAATTAAACTACTGTTTTCTTTCTTCTAAATATCGATTCTTATTTTCATGAATAAGTAATAAGAAAAAAAATCTGATAACATAAACATATCCTTGATTTAATGTCACATTATAATCTTTAAAAATATATATTTAAGGACAATGACCTTTTTAAACTTAACAGCAAAAAGTAATTAGATTTTTTTTTAAATATTTAGGAACTAAATCATAATTTACATTATTCTTATACGCAAACTGTCATCTACCAATTAAAAAAATACATTTCACATGACATTTTTTCTATTGTATAAGACTCACTTACAATTTTGAGTTGAACCTCCTTGAAACATTTTTGAGTTATTATTAGTGTTATGCTTTTATTTTAGTTTTTTCTTTTTAATTTGATTTAGTATGAATTATGATTAGAAAATTTTTGGTATTCACATTATTTTTGTTTAAAATAAATATAAAAAAATAGATGAATTATGAAATTAAAAACTAAACTTATTATAAACAAGAAAATAAAGAATATTTAAAAAAATTAAATTATTTTATTAAATTATATTGTAACTTCTGAATTAAAAAAATATATTTCAATAACAATTCCATTAATTAAAAAAAATTAAAATTATTTACTCAAATTGCAATAAGTTAATAGTATTATTAAATTTAATTCAACTCATTTTTAAATCATGATTATTAAATGGGACTATTTTTCTAGGTTAAGTTATCATCTTATTTGCTCTATTAAAGGTTATCATTTTATTTTATATTTTTCTCGTATTTTTTTCGGTCGTAAAATATTATATTTTATAAAATATGTTCTAGCTTTATTATTATTATTATTATTATTATTATTATTATTATTATTATTATTATTATTATTATTATTATTATTATGAATAGCATCACTTAAAAAAAAAAAAATATTCAATCCGTGGTTGGAATGGATGCAGTGCATGTTTGCCGAGCCTCTCTTCTCTCGCATGCATCTTCGTTCGTTACATCACATGTATCAATCTGATTAGATTTCCTGCACTTTCATTTCTGAATCCTCCATCGGCAATTCGATTCAACCTTCTGCGGCGGCGTCGTTTCTTGCTTTCGCAATTGCATGCATACTACGTAGACCAACACAACAACAACAACTTACAATGGATCTATTCATGACTCCGAGGGGATCTGTGTCATCCAGCATTGGAGACGCTGCAGAACTTGAGGCCAATCTCACACTCAGTGATAGGCTCAAGGTTTTCAAAAGCTCCTCTTTTGATCCCAATGCCTATGTCGCCTCCAAATCCCGCACCATGAACGAAAAGGTTTTTTTTTTCCTGTCTCACATAATTTCAAGTTGAATGGGTTTCATCGTCAAATTGGTTAAATGGGTCTTTTTGTTGATGAGTGATCATGCCTACAATGAACCAAAAATGATATCTCGGTAAGTGTATGGCACACATTATATCCACAAGTCCCTCACGTTCATGTCAAAATTATGCCTATATGCATGTATACATTAATATGTAGGGAACCACTCTTTTAAATACACCTTTATTATTGATTGAAATTTGTTCGAAACTATAAAATTTTGTAGGTCTCACTCCATTAACTTCTAATTTTGTAGTTTCTAGTAAATTTTAATTAGTACAGTACATAGTGGGTTAAATAGAAAATGTTTGAAGGCTGAGTTTTTAGTAGCGTGAAAAGCGTTTCAAGTACTGTATTTATGACAAAAAAGATGTAAGGTTTCATGAGTACCATGTTAGATTTTTTATACAATCCGAGAGGCAACAACAAGGTTTTTATGCCATGTATGCCAGGTGCGAAAATGATATTGGAAAATGAAGTCGGGATAATGGAAAAATAAAATTATACGGTTTTTATCCATATCATTGAGGAAACTTTTCTGCCTTCAAATTTAATCAATGTTTTTTAACTGTTTTGCAGGAGATAAGACACTTGTGCGCTTATCTTCTTGACCTGAAGAAGGCTTCGGCAGAAGAAATGCGTAAAAGTGTTCTTGCTAACTACTCAGCCTTCATACGGTGATTTCACACCCCTAAACTGTTACATATCTTAGTTGAGGAATATTTTCTGCTATATCTCGAATTCTTCTGCATCATATCTGAACTTGTGAAGGAATTTAAACAATATCATTCATGAATTTTTCAAAATGATGGACCTGTTCCATTGCCTTCCTTTCAGAAACTCCTTTGTTTCAGATTACATTGTTATTAACATGTCAAAGTGGTTGTATGAAATTTTCCAACTAGTGTTTCTTCCACAGTTTTGTCCCCATTTAAGTTTTTGTACAGGGATAGATTTCTTAGGTATTCTTAACTCTTTACCCCTGGTGTAGTGCATAAAAAACAATGTCTAACGCCAGCAAGCAGCTACCAAAAATAAAATACATGCTTTCAGGCTTCTTTAATGGGGAGGAAAACATTCTAAAAAAAATTTCACTGATTTTCTAGTACTGTGAGAAGAGAAAGTACACAAGAGGAAGCAAGAAGCGGATTTGACTTCAATTCTTTCATAAAATAAAGCCTTTTTATTCTGTCTGTAGAAAACCCATTCTGTTGCATTGGTTGAGTATAAAATCGTAACATACTTCTGTTAAGACAAAATTATCAATGGGAAATTTGGCTTTCGTTCTTTGGTTAGCTTTGAAAGATAGAATTTCTAATATTTCTGCTGTGTTTTATTTGGTATAAGCTTTGCAACTTATGCTTTTAGGTAAGGGTCCATTCCAGCAATGGTTTTTATATATTTTGACTATGAACATGCTTCCTTATAAACATTCGCCATGTTCAACTGGTGATTCATGATTTTTATAACTACCTTATACTGTGGATGCTAACGACTAAACTTAGACTGCTTGGTCAGCAATATCTAACACTTGATTCAAGGATCCATTTAACAAGTTAAAACTTTTTATCAAGGGCCAAGATGGTTTGTGATTTTACCAAAACTGATAAATCTATGGTTGGCTGAAAGTTGAATATCCACTATCTGTAAGCGTGATTATTATTGAGTTCTCTGCAATACTTTTATGCAGTACATCCAAAGAGATATCTGATCTTGAGGGAGAGTTGCTTTCCATGAGAAATCTTCTATCCAACCAGGCTGCTTTGGTTCATGGTTTAGCAGATGGGTGCGAGCTTAGTCCCATGATTAGTGGAAATGAAGACTCAGACATGGATAATATACTAGATGAAAAAACAGAAATATCCAAGACAGAAAAATGGCTAATAGGATATTTAGAAACCCTTGAAGTTCTATTAGCGGAGAAAAGAGTGGATGAAGCTATGGCTGCTTTGGAAGAAGGAGAAAAAATGGTAAAAGAAATTAGTGAAGGGGGAACTTTAAGTTCGAGTTTATTTGAGGCATTGCAAGCTGCTATTGCTGAACACAGACAAAAACTAGCTGATCAACTAGCAGACGCTATCTGCCAGCCATCAACTCGCAGTTCAGAGATTCGATCAACAGCATTGTCATTGAAAAAACTTGGGGATGGTCCTCGTGCTCATACATTACTACTAAGTTCTCGCCAAGAAACAATGCACCGTGGCATTAAAAACCTTCAATCCAGCACTTATGGTGGAGTTGGGGCATTTACGGCTATCCTTTCACAGCTTGTCTTTTCCACCATTTCGCAGGCAGCATCAGATTCTTTGTCAGTATTTGCTGAAGAAGAACCTGCATATACGTCTGAGCTAGTAACTTGGGCAGTTGCACAGGCTGAGAAATTTGCTGCTCTCCTTAAGAAGTGCATTCTTGCTTCTACAGCTGCTGCAGGAGGTTTGAGAGTTGCATCTGAATGTGTTCATGTTTGCATGAGTCACTGTTATCTGCTAGAGAATAAAAGTGGACTGGCCCTTTCCCCTGTCTTAATAAAATTTTTCAGACCCTTTGTTAAGCAAGCACTGAAAACAAATTTGAAAAGAATTGAACAAAGCAGTTCTGCTCTGGCTGCTGCAGATGATTGGGTACTTGCTTATACTCCAACCAGCAGCAGGCATTCTGGCCTACCTCCATCTTCTTCTCACATGAACATAGGTTCCTTCCAACCAAAGCTTTCAAGCAGTGCTGACAAATTCAACTCAATGGTTATGGTAATGTCTTTTAACAATATTGCACAATTGTTTTCATTTGAAAAGTTTCTCAGAAAATCATTGCTCAGTATCCTATTTTGAAAGTATTGACCTGTTACTAGGAAATTGAGGCAGCCAACCGAGAGAGTATAATATTGGAAAAGATCATCATGAAGCTTCTTTGTTTCATTCCTTATTGCCAAGATGCTTAATAAAGTTTTCTGTTATCTGAATAGGAACTATTTGAAGATGTAGGGCCTCTTGAAATACTACAATTGGATGTTCAAGCAGTTGAAGGCCTTATACATGAGTTCAACTTCTATGTCAACTTACTAATAAATGCATTGCCAGGATCAGTGGTAACTGAGAACCTGGAAGGGCCTAGAATTGTTAAGGTTGCTGAGACTGAAGCACAGCAGATAGCATTACTAGCAAATGCAATACTGCTGGCAGATGAGCTGCTTCCACGTGCTGTTGTCAAGTTTTCACATAGCAGCAGAGGTGATGACTCTCAGAGAAAAGGATCAGACAAACAGCGTGAACTAAAGAAAAGGCTCCAACGTGAAGTTGATCGTCTGCGTGACAGCTTTTGCCGGCAACATGCTCTTGAACTTATCTTCACAGAAGAAGGAGAAGCGCGTCTAAACGCGTTAATATATTTGGGATTGGATGGTAACGTAGAACAGCCTGAATGGTTTCCTTCTCCAATTTTTCAGGTAATATGTGTGTTACAATATTAAGATTGTTTATCCTTAATTTTATATTTTGCATTAACGGTATGAGCAGACTTTGGGATTGCTTTTGAGTAAAGGGTTCCTTGTTCAGTAAATGTTGTCAACTACTGGTGTAATGATTGTTTTCTTTTTGCTTAGTTATGATTACTTTTTTCCTACCTTTTTGTAAGGTTGTTGGCTTTTTGTTTTACTTTTCATTTGTTCTCCTTTTTTCACCATCTGAGTTACGTCAAGAGTTGTGTCTGATATGCAATCTGAAATGTATCGTCTGTGATACGCATAGTCTGATATCAACCTTAGACTTTATCATTTGATATATATTTTTTTTTGTTCAGTCTGATTCTGTTTTTCAGTTAAATTTGTTGGAAAATTGAGTGTAATTAAAAGTTTCATATTGTATAAGAACGAAAAAGTTGAATAAATTATAAGAAAAAAATACTCATAATCTAATATCTTAAGATTTTGAGTTAAAAGGTGATATTAATCTGTTATGTGAATTAAGTTCATGTCTATTGTTTCTCCCATTGAATCCCGCCCGTAACGCCCAAATGAATCTTGTACCCTTTTCCACATGCTAGATTTAAACAATGTGTAATACAAACGGTGCTTCCTTTGATGCTATGTTTAAGTCATTACAACGTGCTTTCTCTTTAGTACTCAGATACAGGCATCGACAAAAATATAGTAGGAGTTTCTGTGTTTAATTATAAGGTTTGTCTTATCGTACATTATTGTTCAGGAGATTTTTGCTAAGCTTACCGAAGTGGCAAGCATTTCAGCCGACATATTTGTAGGAAGGGAAAGATTTGCTACTGTTTTATTGATGAGACTCGCGGAAACAGTGGTCCTGTGGCTTTCTGATGACCAAGCTTTCTGGGAAGAGGTTGAGGCAGGATCAACACCTTTGGGTCCCATAGGCCTTCAACAGGTAGTCACTGGAACATCAGTTTGTAGAATCATTTGAGAGTGGCTTCAACTTATTGTAAATTAAATTATTTTTGGTGCTCTATAGAAAGCTGCAACAATATTGAAAATTAATTGATAAGTTAATTCTAAAATTGTGAAAACAATGTCAGCAATAAACATTTAAGTTGGTTTTGAGACCTGTTTTTAGAACGTAGTTTCTGAAGAGTATGTTGAAGACATTTATTTAATGCTTAGGAATTTGGATCACTTACCAAATTAATATCAGACTAATTGTTCGATCCTTCATGCAGCTTTATTTGGATATGCAATTTGTGATGATATTTTCATCCCAAGGCCGTTACTTATCTCGTCATCTGCATCAAGCTATTAAAAACATCATTGAAAGGGCTATTAATGCTCTTGCTGCTACAGGTCTAGATCCCAACAGGTACATCTATTTGGCTATTTTGCTTAAGGATCATGTTAACCTATGTCATTAGGATATGGGTTAAGGAAGGAAGAGAAGAGAAGTTTAATTGAAAATGACAGAGAAGCGCATTTATATGCATCTTAGGACCTGTTTGGGTGAGTTTCTTTGCAAAGTATTTTAGGCTAGAAAAATATGGAAAAAAAATGTGGTTTCTCCATAAACTAAAACTAGCTTATGCACAAGTTAAAAATAAAAAAATTGGAAAAACTATGAGAGATTTTTTACAAATTAATATACACACACATATTTTAAAAAAAACTTTCTCTTTTCAATTCCTTAACAGTCTTAAGAACACCTCTTAGCCTTTTTCTTAACTTCAACTATATTTGAAATTTTGAATATCTGATGCTAACTAGAATGAAATAGAATAAAGTGAAGTAGAACGCAATGAAGCTATCATTCTCTTGTTTGGATATTTTCAAGGTGCAATAGTTAAAAGAAAATTGTTTCATTCCATATCTCTCAGAGTTAAGCGAAAGAGAAAGAAAAAGGGTTTATGATGGAATTAACCATTTTTGTATATACTGCTTTTGTACTAATCAATAACCTTCGAATGGCAGTGTCTTGCCTGAGGATGAGTGGTTTGTTGAAGTTTCTGAAATAGCTATAAAGATGTTAACAGGGAGAGCTGCCTTTGATAGTGTAGAGGAAGATATTCCTAGCCCCACTTCATCTGTTCAAATGTAGTCGATGTCATTAGTACTCCATTCTCATGGAAATGATAATAGTTCATCCACTTGTCAATCATGGTACACTGTAGAGAGCAGAAGGGAAAGAAGACAGTGAAGTGACAGTTTAATGTTTATCATCTATACCTCTACACGATCACATTACTATGATAAATGGTGCTTTTCAGTGTTCAAGGAATGTGTTTCACTTCAAACTTGTGTGGATGAATTGCATTACATCTGTGTCTATTCCCATCTACACGTGTAATTCATTACAGGAATGCTAAAGGAGGAAGGAGATCAAGATCTCATTTTGTTGATAACTCACGGAAAAATCTAGAACCCAAAAATGCTACCGGGCCTTCAGGTTTTGGATTCATTGTAACTACTTGTATATTACTCTTTCCAATATAGCATAGCCAATTGATTAGTTTTAGGAACTTCGGGCATTGCTTTTCTCTCAATAATTTTTATGACATATTTTGTCGTTAACAAGGAAACACAAACCAAGATTCCTTGTGCGTGTATTTTGACCCTATCAAACTTCATTTGTTCTTAGACACTATTTCTTTTATCGAGAAATTTTGATAAGTCTTCCTTTTTTTCTTGAAATACTGCTTCTACGTTAGATTCTCTGAATTACTTAATATTTTTATTCTATAAAAGATAATCCAAGTAAATCAGTTAGTTGAAACCTTTTTCACAAAGTATAGGAGAAAATCACAAGCCAAATTCTATTTCTAATTCCCTTTACTTTTTGTATGGTCATTAGTTAATTAATGATACATTAATTGTGTTTTTAGATAGATACATCAGGTAAGTTGGTAGAAAGAATGAGGTACCAATGATTTTAAGAGTTTGAATTCACTGTAAAAATAGGTAAACGGTTAAGGATTTTGGTTGCTTTGCAGTAATTTTTTCCCTCTTAAAAATATCTGTTGTGGCATATTTCTTCAAAAGAAGCACCTAATTTGATCTTATTTTTCCTTTTTGGAAAGATAACAGGACCCCTGTACAGTGTAGATTTATTTTCTTTTTTGCAAAACTGTTGCTTTCTGAGTGACATTTTCTATGATAAATTATTGTAAAACTGTTGCTTTCTGAGTGACATTGTATGATAAATTATTGGTACGCATAAAAGTAATGAAGTGTTCAATGGTGTAACAAAGAAGGCTCACAAATTTTGAAGTAAGAAGCCACTTGAAATTTCAAATCATGGCAGAGTTTATTCCTTGAAGTGATAAAAATTACAATAACCAAAGTATCTCCTTATTTCTCAACATGTAAATCATAAAGGAAGAGTTTCGTGAGAAAATGGAATTTGACAAACACCCAAAAAAGAAACTTCCAAATGTGCACAGCCACCAAACTCTCACCATTATAAGATTAAACCTTACCATGTGCTTGGCTATCTGTCATGCTTAAAACATTAAAGTTTGGTTTTCAACTACTACATGATAGTTGCAACTTCGTAATAGAGAACTACTATATTTCCTAAAAACTCATATAGAGGGTCAAGCTTTAGTTTAATACTTACAGTGTGCGCGTACGAGAATTCTGGCGCTTATCCAGACAACCAAATGGGTCAGTCTATGGAATCTATCACTCTAAGTACTATTAAGGAAATCATGATTCAGAGAAATGTGCTTTCCAGCTTTGCAATTTAAAAGGGAAAAGTGGCGTAAAGGAAAGAAAAAAGTTAGATCCCGAAAGCATTGCTACTTGTTTGTATCTGCATCTCGTGAAGAGTGGACTATTTGACAAAATGTCCTAGCCAACATTTTGAAGGGGGTTTTCAGTTGCAAGGAAAAATTGCTTAAGATAAGATAAGAGCAACTTCCATTGGGTGGAGCAACATGGGCTATCAGTTGCTACAGATAGTTACAATGCTGACAGTGATAGCATTTGGAGGAGCATTAAGGAAAGCAACTGGAGAATGCAGTTCAGATGACTTGGAAGGTTTGATGGCCTTCAAGAATGGCATTCAGATGGATACTTCTGGCCGGTTGGCTAAGTGGGTTGGTATGAGCTGCTGTGAATGGGAAGGTGTTGTCTGCGACAATGCAACCACTAGAGTGACTCGGATCCTTCTCCCAGGGCTAAATGAAAAAGATTTGGGTCAAACACAGATGGTGGGCCAACTTTCTCCTTCCATAACACTCCTCTCTTCTCTTGAAATCCTTGATCTTGGTGGCTTAGTAGGCCTCAGTGGAGCAATTCCACAAACAATTGGCTTGCAAATGCCAAAGCTCAAAAAGCTTTATCTTTATGGCAACAATTTAACTGGCCCAGTACCAGAAAGCATTGGTGATTTGCCAAACCTCCAGGAACTGGGACTGCACGAAAATAGAATATATGGGTCAATCCCTTCTAGCCTCGGAAGCTTAAGAAACCTCAAAAGGCTGCTGCTTTACTCAAACCAAATTTCAGGTACAATACCCTTCTCACTTGGGAGTTTGACCAATTTGGTAGAATTGGATGTTCATGACAATGCTCTTATGGGTCATATACCCAACAGCATTGGTCAGATGCTGGCTTTGGAGAAGCTTGATCTTTCAAGCAATATGCTAAGTGGAAGCATACCTTCTTCAATAACCAATTTAACTGCCATTTCAGTTTTGTATTTTGACACCAACTATCTTGAGGGATCCATCCCATTTCCCTCAAAACCTGGTGAAATGCCTTCTCTTGGCTTCATAAGACTCCAGAATAACCACCTGAGTGGAAATATACCTCCCAGTTTTGGTTATCTTGTTTCTCTTCAAAGAGTTTCATTATCAAACAACAAACTTGAAGGAGCATTGCCTTCTAGTTTGGGCAATTTGCATTCTTTGACAGAGCTTTACCTCAGTAGCAACTCCTTCTCAGGCCAAATACCAAAATCAATAGGCCAACTCTCTCAGCTCATAATGTTGAACATTTCCAATAATTTGATTGAATGGCCATTGCCTCAGGAGATGTCTTCCCTTCAAAACCTTCAGACACTTGATCTATCTTTCAACCCTTTGAACCTATCCTCCATTCCACCATGGCTAACAAGTCTCTCATCTCTTTCCCGCATTTACCTCGCAGGCTGTGGCCTCAAGGGCCAGCTTCCAGACTTATTGCAAACAACACAGAGTCCAATACTGGAACTGGACTTATCTGAGAACCTTCTTAGCGGACCAATACCATCATGGATAGGATCCCTCAGTCAGCTCTACTTGTTAAACCTCTCAAGTAATTCACTTGATTCACACATACCTGATTCCCTCACAAACTTGCCTGATCTAGGTGTTCTTGATCTTCACTCAAATAAGTTAACAGGCTCCATAACTGGGGTATTTAACGCTGAGCTAGAAGGTACTTTTGGGGGGTCATTATCATACATTGATCTTTCTGACAACAACTTTTCAAGTGGAGTTGAGGCAATTGGTGTGGGAGAGCAGTTAAACATTCACTACCTGAATTTGTCTCATAACCTTCTGAAGGGTACATTACCAGGTTCCCTTGGGAAGCTCAACTCAATTCACAGTTTGGATTTGAGCTTCAATGAATTAGGCTCCAACTTGCCAGAAGTGCTGGCAAAGTTGACCTTGTTGGAGAGTCTGAAGCTGCAAAGCAACCACTTCAGTGGTAACATACCCAATGGATTTCTCAAGCTGAGAAAGCTGAAGGAATTGGACTTATCAGATAATGTACTTGAAGGGGAAATTCCAGAGGGTAAACCTCTTATTGACTTTCCTGGGAGTACTTATTCTGGAAATAAAGGTTTGTGTGGAAAGCCTCTTAATCCTTGTAAACGTTGAGAATTGTAAGATATGAATGGAAACCCGCGAAATCAATTGAGTTGTCGTTTCTCAAGACCAAATTGTTATGGCTACATATCATTGTGAAAATATTTGCTTCGTTTTTCGGGGTGTAAAATCACAGAGTTTCACTTGTTTCAAGTAGAGAATCTCTGGTGTTCCTGATCATTCTACTTGTATCCTGTTGAGATTATAAACAATTGACAAATGTTGCATTTTCCTTGTGCAGCTGAACAGAATTTACAATCTCGGTATGCTCATATTGAGCATTACATAATTCACCACACAAATTTTATAATAACTTTGATAATCTAAAATCATCAAAATTTGAAATAAATGGTATTCTTTTTTCATTTTATTTTTCAGAATGAACTTGGTAATTCTTCTAAAATGGATTAAGATGAGATTACATTTAATTATATACAATAGTATCTATATCTGAAATTTGCATAATTTTTTTTATATCCTAGAATTGACTGTAATAACTTCTTAATAATTAAAAAATATTTTATTTAAATCTATAAAATCAATTAAAAAAATTATAATAATCTAGATATTATAATGTTATTATATCTTAATAAATTTTAAAATAATATTTAATAAATTCTGTTACATTACATTATCTCCAACACCTTGTTAACTTACAGACTAAGGAAGGGTGTTAAATTAGATTCCAACATTGGATTGGTTGAATTGGCAGCAAAAAAAGAAAACTAACATGAAAGACACAATTCATATTATATGATGTAATCCCCAATTTTTTGTCAATAAATAGAAAATGAGAGTCAATAAATTTTTTATTGTACAATATTATTATAATTTTTATAAAATATTTTAATGGAATTATAACTTTATTTTTAATCAATGTTTTTTTATTTATTAATCTTGTATAGTTAATCAAAATTTGGGTGTTGCAACCCGTATAAACATTAAAATACTAAATGCGTATTAAAATTACTACCTGATCTGAATATAATTTTTTTAACTATTCAAATCTTTAACTATTATTCTATATTAGATTATTGTCTTCTAAAAACTAGTTCAATCTTAGAAGAAAAAGATACCATTATATTAACTTTTACTTGTTTAAAATGAAAATTTACTAAACTATGCTTGTTAATAGTAAAATCAATTAATGCAAATGTATGTACCAATTAAGAATTTATTGAAGTCAACTCTCAAAATTTTCATTGGACAATTATATCACTTATGTGGGTTTTGTCTTTGACACACCCTTCATATTATTGAACCCAAACCCATAAATATTTTCACCACCAATTGCTTTCAATCACTATGCACACGTTCAACTCGTAACACTTGTGGTAGTTGTACATTCAGGAATCATCTCCGTGAATCAATATAAAAAGGACACTTGATCAGAACCCACGTGTTCCCATTTATGTTGCTTTGTTTTTCTTTGCAATGAATAATTATTTTTTGTTCAACGAATGAGTAAGTAGGCCTAGGTAGGTCCATGTTTCAACTGTGCTAGGGACACACCTTAATTTGAAGTTGGAATCTTCAATCACACACATGTTGTCTATATAAATGATAAAAAAGTAACAAATTCTTGTGAGTACTTTTATTACTAGATAAAATTCACATTTTTATCAAATTTATGATAAAACTGAAGTGAATTTTATGTAATAATAAAAAGTGTACACGGAAAGAAATGGTTCTAGAAATTAGCATTATTGATCATAAAATGTGAGATTGCAAATGCTTTTGTTATTTTATATATTAGAAGGGATCCTGAGTTAGCCCCAGTTGTTGGTAATTCATGTAGTCAATGCCATTTAATCTAATACAACATAACACATGTTCTGGTAGCTCCTCTTGTTTGTTTCCCTGTTACACAAAATGTTGCAGAAAAATCAAAACAAGCATCAGAGAAAATAAAATGGATTTTGACTCAAAAAAAACACTACTTGCCTGAATTGTGAGGCCAACATCTAGAGTGCAGATCTTTAGTCTGTCTAGGAAAGCTTCAAAACCTTTCCTGGATATGTAACTGAATCTATGCATATCTATATCAATCTCAAAGTAATTTTCTCCCTGTAAAAATCAATTAAATAAAAGATATGTTATTCATAAAACAATTATTTATTGTAAAGACAATTAATTTGTGGTTCGGTGATTGGAAAGAAATGTCACAAGCTAAAGTACTGCATGTGGAGGTCCCTTGTGTTTTATAGTGAAATGACACCACTGAATTGCGGGCCAAAGATGTAAAGGCAACACAAGCAATCCATAAAGATGAAACCAAAGAGTGCACTCATCAACAAGGACTTTCTTTACCTTTCACTTTTAGAAAGTCCAAATTTCATGAGATATATTCTTGTTTTTCTCAGTTTGATTGACCATTCTGAATTATTAACTGCTAGATGCCATATTACTAAGCACAGAATGACATGAATGTGGACACAAGAAGGACCATCTTATCACTAAAGTATAATAACACGTATGCATGTGTAGAACTTCACGTTCAGATTTCACTGAGAAACAAAATAGAGCCGTAACATCAATGGGATTTCCATTACCTTATATCCACACTCAGAGATAATACTAAGATGTTATCATATTCAGCTATCAAATGAAATAATGTGGTGAATAAATGAAATTATGCATGTAAAAACAGATTGGTTTTCTCACTCTTCAAGATCACTCAAGATTTTAATTGCTCATTATCAAGTTGAGTGGTCATAACAGGTTTATTGAAAGAAACCATTATAATCAGTGCCTTAGTGGATGATTCATGAGACAAACCGTGTAAAACTCATGTTGGGGACGTGAAAGAACAGGTTTCTCATTGTAAGCTTGCATAAGCTTCCTTTCTGCTGCACTCAGATGAAGATCTTCCAAGTTGACGACACGGCCTAATATTTTCAACCTTTCTCTGAAGGGTGCAATAGTATCTACAGGAAAACCCTTTACCTTTTCAACTTCATCGTCCATCAATCTCTGTAGAAAGACGTAGATAGATGTTATTTCATCAGCTACACATAGGTCAGTAAAAAGAATTAATAGAGCCTTCCTCAAATTAACAGACAAAAAGAAAACAAAATGGTAATTCAATAGGAGACCATAAACTAGACGCATTATCAGGGAATATTTGGTCATGGCATAATATCTATGACTTGGAATTTGGAAACTTTTTCTTTTGTGGACAATAACCTTAGTAACCAAGAAAATATAGATATGACAGTAATGTTAGCAGGATGTACCAAACTATCAGGAATATTGAGCACAAATTGATAGATGAAGGCTTAATCTTACTCTGATGCTTTCTTGAAAAGGCAGTGGAAGTTCTTTGGAGTAACTTTCCGAAAGTTTAAAGTACAAAACAATGCTCATTCCTTCACCATCAGTTTCTCCTTGAAAAAGTGTGGCAGGATAGAGTGGAACCTGAGTTGCGCAAAACAAAAAGTGTAAGAATATGCAGCAACAATTTTAAAATAGTTCTTCTGCAAATACCATATTAAGGAAAAGGCACAAAGATAACTAAGGATTAGAGTGGACCTAGGAAGAATCCTTGTTGAAAATAGAACAATTAATAGCAATTATAGCATAAAGTAGGACTAAATTTTAGTAACGCAGGAGTACCTGAACGTTTACAACTAGTATGGGAGGAAATTTCGCGGAGGAACTCATAACAGGAAGTTCCACAAAGCGAGCTATATGGTCGACTTTCCGTGGAGACAAGAAAACATCTACACCAAATGGGTAATATGCAGAATAGTTAGGAGCAAAGTCCTTTTTCTTGTCCCTGCCATAAAAACAGCAAAGTCAAACATTATTTTGTCTCTGAAACATCTTGTTTTGATTTAAAACTATTTATGCATTTATTAACACATGGATGCACATGCACTGTCAAAAAAATTACAGACAAATCTTAATCTTACTTGAAATAATTTACTCCTCGAACTTTGAAAGTGTCTGCGTCAATTTGTGACCAACAATCAAGCATTTTCTTCTCAATTGGACAAAAGGGTACTTGGGAACCTGCAATTGGTCTTTGTAGAAGTGTCTTGGAGGAAACTGAAAACAAGAAAAGGGAACATAAATAAGAATTACACCAATTTATTTTCTCTACTTGTATCACAAGCTAGGTACATTCTCCTGAAAAATCTGCAATTTACTAAATCATCTTTCGCAATGTAACTACAAATTAACTCTACACACTATATAAAAAATAAGAGTTTTTCCTTCCAGCTATTAGACAAAAAACTCTTAATGTCAAGATAAAATGAACCATAGAGTCACAAGAAAGCTGTTTCAATAATTTCAACTCACATAGAGTAGCATTCCCATGTCCTTCTTTCCATTTAAAGGAAAGTTTTGTTGGTGTCTTCTTCCTTGCATTAGGAGGACTAGAACTTGATGATCTTCTCTTTTCAACAGAAGAAATGGTAGATGCAAGACATGGCAAACAATTGTTCGGAAGAATTCCACAATTATCCAAAAGTCCATCATCCTTGTTGGAGTTGGCGTCCACTGAGGAAATTTCATCAAGGAACACAGGCTGACGTGGAGATTCAATGACATCTACACCAGAATATTGAACATCCGAACTTCTGGCAGCCTCAGAGATATTTGTAGAATGTCCTGCCTGTAACTCCTGTTTCTGAGCTGGATCTGTGGAAACTACATGGTTGACATTTCTTGAAGATGGAAAATTATATACAGATCCGCCTTCAACCCCAGTTAGAGATGCGACATCTGAAGATACAAATTGTCTTCATAATCATTTTTAAGGGTAATAGTATCTCCAAATCAAAGAAGTAGGAAGTAAATATAACTAAAGTTAAAAATCTAGAAAATTATACCATCAGGAACACTCTGGTAATCTTCATCACAGTCAGAGTCAAATACCGCAACTGAATCAAACCATGCCTCTTCAATACTTCCTGTTGCTGCTGGCACAAATTAAAATTCCAATAACACGTTAGCAATGATAAAAGCCAAACTTAAGCTTACTATGATTTCAGAAGAAAAAAATGCTTTATGCACTAACTGTAATAAACTAGACGTTATATGGCATGCTGGTCAAAATAACTAAATAAGCAATCACCAGCAGAAGAACCAGATCAGATGGAATATTATATTGAATTATTTTTCAATAAAGGTGACTTAGGTCTGAAATCGTATCCGTAATTTGCTTCAAATAGTAAAACTCTTGCAATTGTAAGTACTAATTCTGCTACATGTCCTTCCATGTCAGTAATAATATGGATATAATTCCAGCTACAAATGCTAGTTTTAAGAACTCATTGATCAAGCCTCAAAGCAAAACTGAAATGGGTAGAGGCATGTCATAAATGCACAACTCACCAACTACTATTGTGTTCAACCACCTACGCATATACATCATAACAATATTACTATTACCCCAACTTTCAACACCACTTTTCCACCTATGGTCTTGCTACGTTCATTCTTAGTGTCTGAAAATTATATTCCAACTGCTTTCTTCATAAAGAGAACAGACTTAGTTTAGCTAAGCCTGCAAGCATATCACAAACAAAAAAATATTGACATTGATTTCGGTTGCAAATGACAATAATTTGCACCAATTATTAGCATCCACTCCATCTTCCTATAAATGATTGTTTCGCTTACCAATCCTTTACATTCCAAAGTGACTAACTCCACCAACAACATTTCCCATATTCCAAAACTCCAAGTTTCGAACTACCCGAAAAACACTAAAACAATTGGCAAACTCACCACAACAGAAAAAAACGTTAAAAGGATTCCAAGTTTCCAACAAATTGCAATTCAAATGAAAAGAAACCATACATATGTCAGCTCTCTCATTTACAACCTTCACTCCAGATAAACCTTTCACACAGAAATGCAACCTAGAAGACCAGAAAAAAAAAAAAAAAAAAAAAAAAGATGCAGTAAAACATAAACCTTGGAAAGTGGGGTTGGCAAAGGAACAATCAGGCAACCCTGCCACATCAACCTTGTCCAATGATTCCTTACACAACCGTGAAGTAACTCTTCTCCTGAGTCCGTCTCTCCTCCTCTTCCTGGTTTTCTTCTTGGAAGAGCTCAACCTCCCTCCCACGCACCCTTGTGGAGTTGAAACACACGCTCCCATGTCATCAACACCTTTGTGTCTGATCCCTCACCACCACCACCAACAAGACCAACACCCGAGGAAGTTCTATCATATAGACACCATGATGAGGAAACACACAAAGAAACCAAATAGGTAAAGAAAAAGGGTAAATAAGCAAATGAATAATAAACAAAAGGAGAACTTGAAGAAGCTACCGGCTGAGGCTGTTTGTTGAAGTTACAAGCAAGAGTCCATCTTTTTTTCCCCGTATCATAATGAAACCAATAAATAAGCTACCCCAGAAAAACAGAACACGAGAAATGAAAAAAAAAAAAAAAAAAAAGTCAAAAATTTCATCCTTATGAAAGGAAATAATAATAGTTAAAATACCGTACAGAGAGGGTAGTTGTTGTAGTTGGCAGGACTGCGAGGGTGCCATGTGCCAGGTGGCGTGATATAATTAGGCAAACGTGTGGAAGAGTGGTGCAGAAAGAGATTGTGGACCAAGTTCTACGTTGTTGCTTGTTACTGTACTTTTGGCGTTTATCTGACGTCGTTTCACACACTCATGTAAAGTTCTCAGTATCTTTATCCACGTCCGTATATAGCGTGTAGTCAATCCAAATGTGTGTTTGTAGATCAAAGCAAAGCTCGATGCGTTGAGACAACAACATTCATATTAGTACACCCTTTTCCTCAATTACAACATCAACATGGGTCCCCTAAAGCTCAGGTTTTTATGATATATGTGCTGGATATGAATCACATTTAGATCTCTACCCTTTTATTATAACTTCTTTTCCTTTCAAATTCTTAATTTTTATTCACCAAACACGATGTATTTTAATTTCTGACACTCATCTTACTTTAAAAAATTAATATTTCTCATAATATCGATTATAACTACATGTTTAGGAAAAAAGGTTCGGCTTTTGTGGAAAATATCTCACCATGTGATCCACAAGGTCAAAGTCATGATATTGTACAAACATGTTATATAGCCTAGCGTTTTCTTGTTATCACACTTGATTTGTTTCTTGTGGATGGGTATTAACTATACTGTTCAATGATTTTAATATACAAAATAAAATATGGATCACATTGGGGTTTATTTAAATTGTTTTAGAATCAATTATTCAAAATAGATATGTATATTCATGCATGAACATCAATTTTTTACCCGGGTCACAAAAGAATAATCTAATTGCATTTCTACACCATTTTTTCAACATAAGAGAGGAATATAAAGGAAAAAGGGAAAAAAAAAAACAAGATAAGCAATGGAATGGAATGAGATTTTTCCGTCGAAATGGTAAAAATAATATGCTTATCCGTTATTCCTCTCTTTATTCAAAGACAAGATGATAGTTTGGAACGAGAATATTTTTCCGTCGAGGTAAACGGGGAATAAATATACATTTTTTATTAATATTTTTTATCTTATCCAATAGATACAAAATTTACTAAACATAAAAATTTTCATTATTTTAATTTATGTGTTAAGCATATATAGAAAGAAGATTTATTTATCAGATTATTTTCCTCATCTTTAGTCTTTAACTTTCCTTTTAAAAATTCATTTTTTTAATGTTCAAAAAATATTTATCATTTTATATTAAAATATAAATAAATTAATTTGATTAGTATAATATTAAAGTTATCCCTTGTATTTTATAAAATATCATAAACTTTGAAAAGAGCCAAAATTGTAGATCCAATATGAAATTGAATAAGAATAGAGATTTACTTTTCACCCTCATATATTTTTTTAATCAAAAGATTAATATAAATAAATATTTTATATAATTAAGTTATAAAGAAATAAATAATAAAAATGAAAAATAGCTTTCTAATTCTTATTATATATATAAAATAAAAAATTCACTTACTTTAAATATAAAAAGTTAAAAATATATTTTTTATGTAATTTAAGTTTATAATAATGAATAATTTTAATAACTAAATCATATAAAAAATTAATAATAAAAATAAATAAATTTATATCTCTTATTTTTAGTCTAAAGAAAAAAAAACTTATTCCAAGAACTAGAGATTTATATTTTTAATATAATATTTATTTAAATTATTATTAGATTAAAATAAAAATAAATCTCAAATTCAAATAATTTGATTATTATTTTATATATATAATATTATACCATGTTTGAAAGGAATGTAAATAACTTCTTTGATAATTTATTTAGGAGTATCTTCTTCTCGACGCAATTATTTTTCTTCGAAAGATCCGAGTCTTTCGTTCATTTATTATTATTAATGTTAGAATGCATTCCACAATGCAAATATTACGATAACTGTTTCCAAAAGTGGGTCTTATTTTATTTCTTTACTCACTGCATTAATTGGTTTGACTCGATGCATGCACGTTTCTAATTTTCCTTCTTTCAACAAAGTTAGTAAACAATGCAAGTACTTTTCAATTTTCAATTTTCAATTTTCAATTTTCCTCCTTATTTCAAATGTTCATCTCTTTCTCTCACAACTACTATCAATTTTACAATACCATCGCAATATTTAGAATATCTTGCGCTCCTATGAAAAAAAATAATAACATCGTTATCTCAAATTTCTTAATATTTGGTTATTATTTGAGAACAAAAAGAATATTAAGTTAAAGTATATTAACCCTGGATAATATAGACTATGATTAATAATTAATCTTATAGTACTTAATAATATATGTAAAAACGTTTTAAAATATAAACAACACATTAATATATGTAGGTAAATAGTTTATATATATATATATATATATATATATATATATATATATATATAAATATAAATGTACATAGGAGTCATTGATTAAAGTAACCTATAGTTAATAAAATGCAAGTGATTGAAGCAAATTTTCAAATTTAATTAAAGGACATCATTAATAATATTTACAATATTATTTTCTCTATTTCTAAATAGGTTAGGTTTTAAGATTGGGTTATATAAATCAAGATAAATATTAATTTTTATTATTTTTAATAATTTGTTATTTTTTTATAAATATTTTTATTATATTAATATTTTCTTTTCATCCAATATTATTTCTAATAACTTATTATGTTTTTTCTTTGTAATAAATATAATTAAAAAGATAAAAATAAATAAAGATGTTCAGAAACAATTTTTTTTCTAATAAAATATTAATAGTTTTTAAAAACGAAAGGAGTATTTTTTTTATATATTTATTTGTCTCGAATTTAAGTCAAAATCATTTTTTAATATTTTATTGATTTAATTGGAATCACCTAATTAAAGAGCTACCAAACCAAAATGTAAGATGTTTACTTCCTCAAAATAGTAATAATTTTTTTATTAATTTTGCTTTGAGTAAGCTATACATTACTTTTCTCGTTGACTCACCCTTTGTAAGGACCAAAACTATTATTGCCTTTTAGATTATCCAAGCATAAGATTTGTGAAAACAATTTTAGCTTCAATCTCCAAGTTATATCCCCATTAGAGTAGAATTTTTATGTCAAAGTTATTCAGTTTTTAATCTCATTCTTAATATATATATATATATATATATATATATATATATATATATATATATATATATATATATATATATATATATATATATATATATATTTTTTTTTTTAAATAAAGTCAAACTGTGTGTCCTTCTTAATTTTAAGCATCATATGTACTCCATTTATGTTCAAAGTATTTGTCATCTTTTAGAGAACAAATTATTTTAAATATATGTCATTTTTAAAGTTTAAAAATAAATTAATTATCCTTCTACTAATTATATATTTATCTTTTTTATTATATTTATTAATGAGAGAAAATAATCAATTATTAAAAATAATTTTGGAAAAACAGAAAATACAAAAATGATAAGAATATTAATAAAAAATTAATAAATTTATTAAAAATAATAATAATCAATATTTATCTTAGTCGGATTTATATTTAAAAAAATAGAGAGAGTAATTTATTGGATGAGTGACATTTATAGTGGTGTAAGATAACGAAACTAATATCTACAAATTAACCCAATAAATGTATTGCAGTGACCCATTACCACATGCAAAGAGAGGACCAATAGTACTTGTTTATGGTACTGTTGGAGGTTCTACACCTACTACATCCACTAACCATAAGGAATAAAGAACACCGTGCACTGTAACTGTTCTTCCTCTTTTCATATTGAATAAACTATTTTTTTAAAAGAAATTTATCTTTAGGATAGATATATATGTAATATTGAGGATTTCTTTCTTTTAAATATGATTTTTTATAACCATTTTCTATAATCACATCATCATTTTAAAAACCATATCTATACATCTTTTAATCTTAACCATAAGATAAAATAAATAATTTATTCTTAATATCCTCATTTATCACAATAATTAAGTATTCTCACCCCGCGTAAATAAGGAATCGATTTAATTCATGTTTGTTCAGTTCCAAAACATGAACCCAAAAAATTAGATGTGACAAAAGTCAGACTTCGTTATTTCAGGTCAAATTAGACTCAATTGTGTGGACAAAAAAGAAGAAGAAATTGAAACAACTGATTTAATTCAGTTCAATTCATCGAGATAGGGTTTATTGACCTACAGAAAAAAAAACACTAAAATAAAGCTCTTCGTGTTTTTTCCTCCTCGTTTCACGTGGAATTTCGATCGATTTCGATTCTAAGGGTGTTTTGGTCCTAATCAAAATTCTACCACGTAAGTTCTTTTTACTTAGGCTAGCAATTTGATTTTCAATCGAAAACGCGTATGAGAATTGAAAACTACAGGATATCGAAAATGTGGTTTTTGGTATTTTATGTCTAAAATGCTTGACTCAAACAAAACAAGTAAAGTATCGAATCGAGCAAAGAGAATATTAAATTGCAAGAAAGTGCGAAAACCCCGAATTTGCAAGAAATTAAGTTTGCGAGATAAATAAAGGACAGGAAATCGAAATGTGCGGGAAATGTAAATTGCTAAAACCCATTAAAATTGCACAGAAAGTAAATAACAGGAAATCGAAATGTGCGGAAAATGTAAATTGCTAAAACCCAT